GCTTATTCTGGACTCCAGCGTATGCAAGGCCTCGGCAGACTACTGCACCAATTTGAACGATTGAATCTGCTCCAATGACGCAATCTCATGGAAGTGGCGATGCCTGTAGAAGCCAAGGGAAGTGTTAGAAGATTAAAAGAAGTTAGAACCACAGAAAACGACAATAAAGCAAGAGAAGCCCTTATAAAAAGTTCCAACAGATATAACCAACGGTGGCTTACCCTACGACAGTCATTCTGATACGGCAGTTGACAATCCGAACCCATTAGAACGTTCCTGCAATGACAAGGCAGAAATTGCATTCGCAGAATTTATTAATTAGTGAAAATCCAAAACCAACTTCGCAGGACAAAATCTTATGCCTCAATAACAATGGTACGAACATCGAGTGCGGTTTTGAAAGGTCCTTACCTCGAAGTATAGGTCCGAAGGGAGAAGAAAAAAGGATACCGACCTTGCTGCAGCACAATCGCTATCATCGTTCAGGTTCTTGAAGGGCTGTCAACGGTTCAGGTCTACCCGGCTGGTCCGAATCGACCCAACCATTTATAAAGGATCTGGCTCCATGATTATGTTCAAATAAATAATTGGGTCGGTTCCGGTACTCGCCCCTATCGAATCGATTCATGCCCAAAACCGATTATTTTGTTAACCATATATATTATTTCCTTCGTTTTCTTACAGTTTCTCTCTTATCATAGGTTTAAAGTGTCGAGTCTAATAGGTAGATATATAAATAAAGGTGTCTAACGTTTTAACATATAAGTAACTTAGTATTTTTCTATCAATTTTATTAACGATATATGATTAAAGTTTAAATTTTAGTTTACGATTTAAATAAGAAAAGTGGTGTGTTTTAGCTTAAATGGTTCGGTATTAAACCTATGTTTTTGTTTCAACCTAAATTTTAAGTTAAAATGGACGGTTTTGGGTCTAAGATTTTGTCCTAGTTAATGATCTACTCGGGAGTGCTTCTACCTAGAGCGGACCCGGATCGCACCCGTTGACAGCCCTATCTTGAATGGCGGCCAATTTCCGGTCGAGCCACCAGTCAAAACATGACGAGAAATAGTTAGTCACTTATCCGAAGGAATTAAAAGAAAATGGAAGTCCTTTGAGCAAGGGATGTGTCAAATATACTTACATTATTAAC